ATGCCCTTCGAGTCAATGAAAGTTCCATTCACTTTTCAAAGCATCATAACTAAAACTTTTTAATAATATTTTATAGATTTTATATGTATCTTCATGGATGTTTTTAGCTTTTTTGGCCTTAAACACTAGCACTTAAAGAAATTTCTTTAAGTGCATACAAAATAATGTTATATTCAATTTTTAAAAATGCACTTTCTTTGTCAAATTAGAAGTCCTACTTTAACATTTCATTTGGCATCCTCATCAGCAAAACCAAAACTTCAGCCATCATTGCACTCAACCTTGAAAAATGCATTTTTTCTTCATCAAATTAGAAGTCATATTTGGACATTTTATTTGGAAGGATGGTATCCTTATCAACAAAGCCAAAACTTTAGCCATCATTGCATTTAACTTTGAATAGTCATTTTATTCATCGAATCATGGACATCTTATTTGCAAGGACAACATCATTATCAACAAACCAAAATATTAATCATCATCAACATACAACCACACATTCAACTCATAAGACTATAAAGTTTCTTAGATAAAATAGGCTATTATCCAGAAAATTTTCTCACCAAATTCCTTAAGTAATATCAATTATACAAGTGCATTTATGACATGCTCAAAGAATCACTTACTAAAGTATTAATTTTCGCCCAACAAAATTGGAGTAAAGATTTTATGATCCAAGTCAATGCATCTGATTACGCCATTAGAGTAATACTTTCTTTTTAACAACAAGACAATAAAAAATATTGTTTATTGTTCAATTTACTAATAGACCAAAACCCTAGTCTAGTTATGCTAGGTGGTGTACACAAAAAATAAAGAAGAAGTATAATTGACCCATTATCAAGTGCTTGCATAGCAATGATTCACTGCACAATACTCAAGCCTAAGCCTAGGGACTAAGACTTGAATCATGAGAATAAAAGATCCCTGCTAGAGGAATAAAAAAAAGAGAAGTTAAACTATAAAGACTTGTACCCAAAAACCATAGTTTATATTCTTGAACTTCTCTTCCTAACCTTTGTGATTCCAAAGCTCTTTCCTCCTCCGAAATAGTTATAATGCATGACAATATAAATTGGATGTGTTTAGAGTAGTGGATCCTTAACAATGATAAAGAGGATGTTGCCATGATCCTAGAGGCATTTGCTACATTGTTAAAATCCCAAAAGTCATTTTAGTTTTCAATCCCAATTAAGTGTTTATATCATATTGCAACTCTTTAGTTGATAATTCCTCATACAGTTGTAGAAGAAATTGTTGCAATCTAGAACAAAAAGTAAAAATTAAAAGACACAATAAAAAGATATAAACTAACATGGATTGAGAGTTTATGCATAGCATACATGGCTTTTAAATATTATTTTATGAGTGTTTAAACAATTCAAAACACAGGTGTGTCTTGAATTTTTTGACACCTCCGCAAAACCATATTTTTTACCATATATAAGTCTCTATTGTAATACTTAAAATATTAAAGTGCCTTATATCTATATATTAAAAAACTTCCTATTTTTATACTCAAAGATATTAGAATTATGATGTATTATATTTGTGTTTTGTTTTTAAATATGGAGGGAAACATAAAGTTTACAACTGATTAGATGCTCAGTAAGTCAATTAACTCTATTGTGTTGAGACTAAGGGTCTTATTGTTATACTATGGATGGAATAACACAAAAAATCCTAATGACTCTATATTATCTCAATATTATAAGAAGCTTATTACTATGATTAAAAAAATGG